TGCACTCACACAGGTTTTGGGAAAGAGTTTAGCTAAAACAGGTGTTCAGATTGCTATCTTTAGATGAAAGTTTTTTAACATGGTGTTCTCCTAACCCACCTGTGTTTTTTCTGTTTGTTGACTGGAAAATGTTGGCTGATTCAAGTTATTTAGGTGGTGTAGTCATTGAAAATGAATGGATCTTTAAAAAAATTTCACTAGTTATCCCTTTCCCCTCAAATCCAAACTTAATTTGTGATAAGCTTGGCTAGGTATAGTCTCCCGAAATAGTTGAAAGGAAATCAGTGTTTTGTGTCCTGATGAACCTAATGTGATTTAAATGAATTTGTGTTTAAAGTTGCAGGCTTTTGAAGGAAAAAAATAAAGCATTTACAAGCCAGATTTGATTTAAGCCCAAATCAACCCCCTCTTTTTTTTTTGTCAGTTGTGAGGCTTGAACTCAGGGCCAGGGTGCCATCCCATAGCTACTACAGCCCCACTTCTGGTTTTCTGGTTGTTAATTGGAGATAAGAGTTTCATGGACTTTTTTGCTTGGTTTGGTTTTGAACCATGATCCTCAGAGCTCAGTGTCCTGAGTAGGTAGGATTACAGGAATGAGCCACCTGCACCAGGACTTTATTTTCTTTTTGTTCAAATACTAGATTGAGGGAAAGTATAGATTAGATAGGAGGGAAAGTGTGGAATTTTCAGTTAGGTTATGAAATTTATAAAACACAAGAACTGCTCACCTGCTACATGCCACTGGTCTTAAGACATTATGGAATTCCAATGAGAAAGCATTATTTTCAGAAGGCTCCTATTTCCAGAAGCACAAGCAAATCATTAACTTTCCTGCTTTGTGCATTTGAGAGAGCTTGGCTGGAAGAGGTGGGTAGGGCTGTTTGCTTTATACCTTCAGGAGACCACGGCTGCTGGATGAGCTAGTGGTAGGGAGGCCTTTTTGAACTTGTACGTTTGATAAGATTGCTCCAACAAGGTACCACTAGTTGAGGAAATTTTTTTTTTGTTGGTCATGGGGCCTGAACTCTGGGCCTGAGCACTGTCCCTCAGCTCTTCAGCTCAAGGCTAGTGCCCTACAGGTACCACTAATTGAAAGCCTTTAAAGTTGCCAAATTTTTGTCTCATCATTCTGGAAGTCGAACATCAAAGTATGCCTAGAGTTTCCTTCTGAGGCTTGTTCTGTGCTTTTGGAGGATTACTGGCAGTCTTTGATGTGTCTTGGCTTGTGGGTCCATAACCTTGACATCTAGTTCATGCTTATGTGCTCGTCTTCCTGTGTATGTATCAGTGTAAAAATGTCCCCTTTTTATAAAGATACCAGTGTGTGGCTCTGATAACTTCATTTTAGCTAGATAACCTATGAAGGCCCTGTCTCCAAGAGAGCACACACTGTGAGGTACTGGAGCTTAGGATTCTAACATATCTTTTTTCTTTCTTTCTTTTTTTTTTTTTTGGTACTGGAGATTGAAGTGAAGGCCTAGTGATCTGCCACATGAGCCACACTCTAGTCATTTTGCTTTTGAGATAAGTTTTCCTATTTTTCCCACGGCTAGCCTACAACCGTCCATCCTGGGATTTCAAGTGTGCAGGATTAGGCCAATCTTTGTGGGGAACACAATTCAACCCCAGCACTCAGGGAGAATGAGACTCATGACATTGTACTTGTGATTTCTCTTTTTAGCTGTAGGGCCACATGTGAGGAATCAGGCCAGAGGTGGTGGAAGGAGAGTAGTCGGGGGAAGGGGGATAGTGGGGGACCTGAGTATTTTATTAGAATATTTTATTCCTGAGGTCATGTAAGGGCCTAGATTTCAGTTATATTAAGTAAAAATAGAGGAGGCCATTGTTTTTAATTTTTTATTGTGAAAATACCATACAGAGGGGTTACAATTATATGGGGAAGATAACAAGTTCATTTCTTACCAAGGATTGTTGCCTCCTCTTTGTTTCCCCTTCCCATCCCTTCCCATATCCCCTCTCCCCCTACCTGATCCTCCCCCCCAAAGTTGTAAAGTTCGTTTTTGGACTTAAAGACCTACCTGATCCCCCCCCCCCAAAGTTGTAAAGTTCGTTTTTCGACTTAAAGACTTGTATGTCTCATTGTTGCAATGGGTCCACCTGTATCCTTATTTAAACGATTTGTTTTTCCCCTTCCCCTCCACAAATTATACCGACATCAAATACAGTGAAAGCACAGGTTATACCGTGGGGGAGGGATGTACAAAGCAACAAAGAAATCATCTTATAAATATGTTAGAAACAATTGCATGAAAGAAAAAAAACATTTGAATACTTATCTTGAGATTCATTTCCCTAACATCAACTTATCTGACCTTTTCTGCTTGACTCAGACATACACTGGTTATTGAGAGGCCATTGTTTTAGACTGGACTTGTGTACTAAGTGGACCAGGCCAGTAATCAGAATGTAGTTAATAACAAAAATTCCATATCACCAAACTGAAACTAGGTTATTTTTTGTCCTCCCAAGCTATCAGGAGAATAAAGGGTAACAGCCAAGTTTCCTAAACAGGCCAGTTTCCATTGGAGTGATAATGAAGTTTGTTTTGCTTTAAACAGAAAAGTAATCTTGAAATTAACCAATTAGTTATTCTATTTCCCCTTTCTGTTAATTTACTAGGAAAGTCACATTGAAATGGCCAATCTGTTTCTGCTTTCTATAGCTTTTCTGTCTATAAAAGCAACCTCCTGTGCTCAGTTATTGAAAAACTCATTTTATTTGATGGAGTGAAATGTTGCCCTATTCTAGAATTACAAACAAAGCTAACCATCTTTCATTTATTGTGGTTTTTATTTTAAATGTTATGTTTATGATTGAAATATTTGTGTTTATTAATGAGGTATAGGGTGAGGTGTATATGTTAGAGCATGTGTGTGTTCTCACACTTGAATATCCATCCTCTCCTGTCCTTCCTTCTCTGCACAGCATCATTTATTAACTAATCTCAGTAGTGTGATACTGTCTGTTCTCTGCCACTGATCACACAGTCTAGGACTGTGGAGAAAGATATCAGAAGGCAGGAATCCTAAATGAATGGAGATCACTGGGGCCCAGCTTCAGGGAATGTAATTAGTATGGTTTCAGTAATACTACATCTAGCAAGCCAGAAAGAGTCCAGTAGTACCATTTATTATTACTCTCTTCCTTTATTATGTATTATTCTATAATTAAAATAGAAGTTTTAGTTTTTTTCATTTATCTTGTTATTATTTAGGCAACATTTTATTTTAGTTTTTTTTTTTTTTTGGTTGGTTGTGGGCTTGAACTCTGGGCCTGGCCCCTGTCCCTCAGCTCTTCTGCTCTTCAGCCCCTCAGCTCTACCACGTAAGCCACAGCGCCACTTCCAGTTTTTTGAGTGGTTTATTGCAGATAAGTCCCACTGGCTTCCCTGCCCCGACTGACTTTGAACCACAGTCCTCAGATCTCAGCCTCCTGATTTGATAGGATTACAGGCATGAGCCACTGGTGCCAAGCTTTTATTTTAGATTTTTTTATTGTAGAAAACTTCCAACTTCTAAAAGAAAAAAGGAACAGTAAAATGAACTTCACTGAACTAACCACCCAGTTTTAAATATTAATTCATGGTCAGTCAATTCTGTTTAATTTATATTTCTTTTCTTCTTTTGTGGATCGTGGGGTTTGAACTCTGGGACTGGGCTCTGTCCCTCAGCTCTTCAGCTTAAGGCTAGTGCTCTACTACTTGAGCCACAGTGCCACTTTTGTTTTTTTAGTGGTTTATTGGAGATAAGAGTCTCACAGACTTTCCTGCCTGGGCTGCCTTTGACCTATGATCCTCAGATCCCAGCCTCCTGAGTAGCTAGGATTACAGGCTTGAGCCACAGGCTCCGCCTTAATTTATATTTCATCCTCCTCCTTCAACCATTATTTTGAAACAAATTCCCAGCAGAATATCATTTCATTGCATAAACCTTATTGTGTCTTTCTGAAGGACAAAGGATCTCTTAAAAACAATAATGATATTAAAAATTAGTATTCCTTCATAGCATCAAGTTAAAACCTAGGGTTCAAATTTCTTTTATTGCTCTTATCCTTTAAAATATTTTTACTTTGACTATAGCATCACGTAAAAACCTGGGGTGCAAATTTCTCTTATTTATCGTATCCTTTAAAATATTTTTACTTGGCCTGTAGGTGTGGTTCAAGTGACAAAATTGCTTGCTTAGCAAGTTAAAACCTAAGTTCTGCACTGAAAATATAAATATATAAAAATTTGTAAATATATAAGAATAAATTGTTCTCTATCAATACATAGTGATCTGTAGCCTTTTTCTCATACCCTAGGATTTATTTATGTATTTCTTTGTATGCATATATGTATTTTATATTTGAGATATGTTTAGCCAAAATGATTTTCTGCTTTAGCTTCTTGAATTCTAGAATTACAGATATGCATCATTGTGCCTGGGTTGTTGGATTGTTTAAAAAACTTTTTGCAACTAATTAATAATGAAAAAAAAACTAAGATTCTTAATTTATTTTTAAAGTCCTGGAGATCAAGTCCAGAGTCTTGCATTTGCTAGGCAAATACTCTACCACTGAGCTAAAGATCCCTAAACTCCCCTTTTTTCTTTTTTGCAACTCCCCTTTTTTCTTTTTTGCAACTCCCCTTTTTTCTTTTTTGCTACGTAGCCAGGCTGGTTTGATATTTGTAATCTTCCTATCTTGGCCTCCTGAATGTTGGAAAAACAAGGGTGCAACCTTGCTCAGCAAAGACTTTTTTAATTTTTAAAAAATGTATATTGTTCAGTGTTTTAGGAATAGTTCTAAGCAACAGGTCACTGAGTTAGTTTTGTCATTTGTGTGGCTCCATCTCCTGGCCTAGGTAGACCAGGTTGGGATTTGAGTGGGAACTTTCATGAGGCCTCCGGGTTTGACACTTAACTCCAAAGGAATTCTGAGAATCCTTGCCATGTATTCTGAACAAATGATTACCAGTGCATTTTCTTGTCTTTCCCCAGGCCCGGCAGCTCATCCTACAATATGGCTTAACCCTCAGTGACCTGGATCGACACCCAGAGGTAAGAGAAACATAGATTATTGTACATTTCTTTCCTTTTCCTTTATAGTTCTCACTTGTTCATGAACTCCAGATAGTTTGTCATAGTTTAGTTATATTAACTTTTCTTCTAGGACCCTGAGTATTCATTCTGGCTGAGGTCACAGAGGAGAGGTGGTTAGTTGATGTTATTGGTATAGTACAAGGTAGATTACCTGGGACTTAACTCAAGTTTTGAGTTAAGTATGCCTTACTTAAAGAGGAACTGGATAAGCTTAGGGTTTAGTGCTTCTTAAGATAACTTTTTCTAAGAAATGCAAAAGAGTGAGCTAGTACATAGAATTTACACTTAAGTGGAGACAAGAAGTCATTATCTGTGGCAGCCATGAAAACTGATATTTTGAAAACTAACAAGTTTTACAGTAGATACCTAGTCCTAGAGGTTGTTAGAAAAGACCAAAGATGAAAATGAGCAGTTTGACATGTGATTGCAGCATATTTTCTGAACCATTATTAGGTATCAGGTTTTAGGACTGTTCTTCCTATATTAAGTTCTTTAGCATCCAGCAGTCTGATGGTGGGTACTATACTTATTCCACTTTAGGGATATGAAGAAGGTGCAGTTGAGAGTATATCAGATTATTAAGGCCACAGAATAAGGAGCATGCCCAGAATTAGAACTTGTTTACTACTGCCTCTAGAACAGTGGTTAGAAGAGCAGTAAGACAGTGTTAGAAAAAGAATTGTTGGAAGTGGTAATGTTGGAGCTGAAGTGGTAAGGCTCCAGTGGATGGGCAGGAGAGGATGGGTAAGTAGGAACCACAGGCATGTGGGCATATATGAACAGTGCCCAGACTTTCTGGGGTGATTTGGACAGAGTGAGTGGAATGTGTTGGTGCGTAGTGAGAACTAAGAGGGTACCACTTTGATACACAAATGGTTTGAGGTGTTAGTAAGACCCATGGAAGGCTTTTTTGGGGGACTGTGGGTAGAGCTGGAGGCACAAGCTGAATCAGCAATTCGGCAGCTATAAAGAATGTACTTTTGGCTGAAGGTGGGTTCAGATACTAGACAGAAAAGGTAGCACGTTCCTGGCATATAGTTTCCACAGTGTATCCTGGCCTTATGTGCAGGCTGGAGGAGAATAATGCAAACTGCAGCTTCAGACATGCTGTGAAAGGATAGAAACGGTGTGCTTCTCTGAAACTTTCTAGGCTTTATACCTGTGCTACCCCAGCCATGTCAAGCAGCTATAGCATAGGTGGAATGTATCCCTCGCATATTACTACTTGAGAAAAACCTTACCTAAAGTTACCATGTTGCCCATACAGAGTATGGGCAGTGCTTTCTTGAAATCCTGCTTTATTGAGTTTGATTTTTTTTTGGTGCCAGTCCTGGCTCTTTAACTCAGGGTCTAAGCTCTGTCCCTGACCTTTCTTTGGTCAAGTCTAGCACTCTATTACTTGAGCCATAGCTCCATTTTTTTTAATTTATTTTTTATTTATTTATTTTTTGGGTCCGGTTGTGGGGCCTGAACTCTGGGCCTGGGCGCTGTCCCTCAGCTCTTCAGCTCAAGGCTAGCACTCTACCACTA